GGCGGGGCGGCCTGCGGACGGGGGCGTTCCGCGCGCGTGCACGATGACCTGCCCACGACGTGCGGCTGCCGCCGCCACGGACGCGCCGCCGGTTCCGACCAGCTTCCTCCATTGCTCGCCGATGGTCTTGAAGTATAGCAGCAAAGCACAGAACAGCTGGTCAACAACTCCGCCGTTCCCGCACAGTGCAGCGCGCTTTGCTATTCAAAACATAGGCGACCAGATGCAGCAGCAGGTCTTCCCGCTTTGGTCTGCCCGCGCGGCGGACAAGAACCTCATTCACCCCCGGGGCGCGCGGGCGGGCAGGGGGCAGGTTGCCTCCGGCCGGGCCGAACCTAACCTGACTGGACAGGACGGTTGCCTGTCTCCTCCGATACGGTGCGGTGCGAGTTGACGACGACATGCCAGACGACGTGAGTGAGTGTGTGTGGTGCAGGCTGACCGAATTACGACTCGGCGGCTGCAAGGCGCGACAGAGGACGCCGTGAGCGAACGCAGCCACAAACATCCACTAAAACGAACAAAAAAATTTCAGCGGTGCGATCATAAGGCTCCGCTTGGTCGCTCGCTGCCGAAGACCAGCTTGTCTATAGTTTTGAGCTCCACAGCGCGGCGTTGCGTGGCGCGAGCGCCCAATGCAGCTGGGACGTGCCGACCCACTGACAAACCGCTCCTTAATGGGGAGGAAATAAAAAGCGCTGGGCATGAAAAAATGTATCGGAGTAGAAAACGGCGGTGGTATGTGTACAGTGAGGGGGAGGGGGAGAGGAGGTACGTGACCGAGTGCGGCAATGACACATATCGCCGCGGTGAGGGAGGGGCGGTGAGGGGCGGGGGAACAGAACAGTCGGGAGGAAAAGCGCAAGGACGAATTGTTGCCCCGTCAGCGGCAAGTCACCTCCGGACGCTCAGATGCGGTGCGCGGCATGTTTAGGCCCGCCGCGCCGAGAGGGGGTTCTGAGGACGAGGCAATAAAAGCGCACGCAAGGGGACGAGAGCGAGAGAGAGAAAGAGAGCGCGAACACGAGCGAGCAGGGGACGGGCAGCAATAGGGAAAGACGGGGTGCTCGTGCCGGGCGTGGGCGAGCGGTGGACAATGCACTCTCCTCTGACTCACGCGCGCCGGCCCGGGCGGTGGTGGTAGTTCAACAGCCCGGCGGGGTAGGCAGTCCCGCTCGGCTCTGGAGCCGGCCGCCCCCCGGACGCTGCCTACCCGCCAGGCGGAGGGCGTCAGGGCCGGCCGCGCCCCGCGCCGCGGTCTCGCCACTTTGTCTCGCGCAGCCGGGCCTGCTGGCCGGGCCGGTATGTTCTCTCCATTAATCATCGGCCACCGCGCCGCCCGGCCCCGCCCGTCGATACTCCTCCGTGAGAGAGACATGAGACATGGGCAGAGAGCGGGCCCATGGCAGCACGCTGGGCCCGCCCAGCCCCGCCCGGCCCCACACCGCCGCCCCTCCTCGCCCCCCGCTCTCGTGTCTTTGCATGAAAATTGCCAATTTGGCAGCGGGGCGATGGCGGCGGAGATAGACCTGGGCCGAACGAACGAACAGGCCCGCCAACACAGCAGCGCCTCGCTCGCCGCCGAGCGCGTGCGGGCCAGAGCCGGG